GCCAGAGACGGGCTCCGCGCTCGGAGCAGCCCTCGGAAAGACGTCGGGTCTGGGCCCCCTCGGGGAGATTTGCTGGGTTGGGGGTTTCTTTTTTCATTTTGCTGGCCAAGCAGTTGAGCAAAACACCTGGCTGCGGGAAAGCGAGGACAGCGCAGGTGCCCCGTCGGGGACCGCCATGCAGCACACGCAGCGGAGAACAAAAGAGAGAACAGCAGGGATGCAAAAAAGAGGGGAAAAAAAAAAAAGGGAAAAAACCAAAAAAGGACATTAACAGCCTTGGGAACCCAAGACCACAGGGGAGAGTGAGAGTGCGAGGCACCACAGCACATGTCACAGGAGACAGACAGACAGACAGCCCCGTGCCGATCAGATACGTAAAATATCACCACTCCGGGACCCTCACTGACCTCTAACTTGTTGCTCCAGGTTCAGTATGACTGATACGGCCTGGTGTAGGATTAGCAGTTTGGTCTGCGGTTTTTCGCTGTTTAGGTGGAGTTGGCACATGCGTCCGAGCTCTTTAAAGGCCTCGTTGATGTCACGGACCCGCAGGCGCTCACGGGCATTATTGGCGACCCTCCTTTCTCTCTCTCTCTCGGCTTTTTGCTCTGGGGGAAGAAGATCGTCCTCCTCATCCTCATCTTGACTAATGGTTTAAAATAAGAACGAGACAGGGACATTCCTCGCGTGCACTCTCAGCACTGGTCAACTCACAGAAAAGAAACACATGTCGAGGCACCGAGACGCCAAGCCCCGCGCGTGCCCCCGCCGGGAAGTGCCGGCCCGGGGCCCCGCGCCCCGACACGGGGTGGAGAGAAGCAATTAAGGCTCTTCTTCTGCCTCTTTTTTTTTTGTTTGTTTTGTTTTTAAACAAGAAAGAAAGAAACCACAACAAAGCGATTAAGGCCTGAGCTTGTTGCCGGGAGGCTGCAGGGTGGCCCGGAGAAGGTCGGGGCCAACACTGGTGTCCCAGGCTGGCGGTTTGGGAGGACGCAGCCCTCTGTCCCCGGGCCAGGAGGTGGCTGCAGCCTGGCAGGAGCACGGCCAGCGCTGCCCCTTCGGGCAGCATCACCCTGCCGAGGTCTCTGAGCCGACGGCGAGGTGACGGACAAGCCAGCGCGCTGGAAGGACTCTACCTGATCCGCTGCCACATACCTGGCTGGATGTGACAGAGGATTCAGGAGCCCGAGGCAGACAGC